AAAAAAAAAAAAAAAAAAAAAGATTATATCTGATATCATAATTTAAATATCACAGCAATACTGAAATTAAAATTATCTAATCAGGTATAGTAATTTCGGTTTCAGTCATCAGCGTCATAATCAATAATGTTTTAAAACATTTTATTAAATTAGATAAAAAACATAAAAATCATTAAAAAGCGATTTTTTACTATCTGGTAATACAAATTTTTAGCCAATAAAATCGAAATTTAATGATCATGTGACATATTGTAGTAAAGTAACGGGTACCCGTTAGTACCAGGGCTGGGTAGTAGATATACCCGGGCCCTACCCATTTGTGTAAGGGCTTTCAAATCAAAGCCCAAGCCCTACCCTAGGGCTTGAAATTTGATGCCCAGGCCCAGCCCACATAGTACTACCCAGAGGGTACCCATGGGTAGTCCCGGCCCATGCGGAGGCCTATAAATCAATAAAGGTTAAAATATAATTAAAATATAGAAATTTTTGTTCGAATTAGCCCGATCGAAAAATATCTAAAGATAATTTTCAAGAAAATATCTCATATAATTATATCAGTATATTTAAACAATGTAACTTTATATAAATAAACTATTAATGTAGTTTTAATTGACATTTGGCTTTACACATCAGATGAATACATATAATAAAAAAGACAGTTTTTACAAATAAAAAAAATACTAGTTATTCAGGTCTTGGACGAATTAAAAATATTATTTATTAAAATTTAAATATTCTACACAAAGACATTACTTCATTTCGGCAATCAATTGATGATAATGGCTTTCCAAAAAATTCGGATCCTTAACAAATTTCATTGCTTGTTTATAGATACTAGTTGCTCGCGGTTGTTCATTATTGACAAGAAGAAATTTAATATAATCTAGCCACATATCTAATAATAGTAATGATAGAATTAATATTAATAAATAATAGATAAGTTTGGTAATGGAATAGCCATGTTAAATTGGGTTTAAAAATATGTCTATAAATTTGAAGTAACTCGGAATAGAATTCTGAATCAATCTTAAATTTTAGAGTGACTCGGAATAAAATTCTAAAGTAAACTTATTTTAATGGAGTGGGTTAAAGATTGAGTCAACCTAACCCAACCCATTAAAACCCTTAATAACAGACTGTGTTCAATAGAAAGGGGGGATATTTTATTTTTAAACCTTTTCTTTTTTTTTTATAAAAAAAAGCTTCTTGTATTGATAAAATTTTTATTTTTATAATTCTTAATCTAATATTAAATAAATATCTGATTTTTTAATTCCAAAATGTTTATAATATATTTTTTGTTTATAAGTTTCTCCCCTTTTCTATTGAATAATACGAATATTTCAAATAATTAATAGTAAATTTAACAATTACAAACCATATTGAGTGCTGTCAAATTGACAAGCTCGTTCATATAACCATTCGAAATGAGTTTTAGCGTCTGACGCTATAGGTGAAGTTATATGCTTTTCTTCTATTTGAATACATGTTTGATAGAATCCAAGAGTCGGCAAGATCTTATTAAAAAGACTAAATTAAACAAAAAATTTCAAGAGTGAATAAAAAAATTCGCATGAAACAACTTTAATATTCTAACGTTATCACCTTTTATAAACTTGACGCGCCTTCTTCAATCCTCCAACCTCATCAGCCCACATTAAATATCGAGAGATAACACTATTTTTTGCTTTTTCTGGATTATGCTCGTTAGTGATTTGCAAACTTAACGATAATGATGCGACATTAGAAATCGATGCCTATGTAAAAAACTTCTAAATCAATACTGTTAAAAAATAAATTAACTTGTTAAAAGTCTAAAATAATAAATTTATGGTATACCATGAATATTTTTTCCAATTCATGATCTCCCAAACCACCATCTTTCCATTTTGAAAAAACCCAGGATAGATAAGAATCCCATAACACAAGTGACGCAGGATTCTTTTTCAATGCTAAACTATATAATTCATCTGCAGATTTATCACCCTCTAAGGACATCATAATACCAATTCTTTTTATCCAAAGTTCTGAACTTTGAGGATAAATCTCAGTAGCTTGTTTTGCAATATCAAGAGCTTTTTTGGAATTTGGATCGAAATTTTCTAAGACCCAATCTGTCCATTCTGCATATATTTTTTCTGAGGTGAGGTTTAAAGAGAAAGCAGTTTCGTATGCTTGAGACAATAATTTTGCAATGTAAGAATTCTATTTTAACAAGGTGTTATTTGTTGAGAAATGTTTATAAATAACACGACTCAAAGAACGACGGTGACTCACCAAAATTTTTTCTGTAACCTTATGAAAATATTTATTGAGAAATTTGGTAAACAGGTACCATATTTCTTTATTAGCTAACTCCTAAAAAAATTAAATAAAATATTAGAAAATAATTAACGAAATCTCCAAGAAAACTTGTAATTAAACATAAATCCAACCTCAACACTCTGTTGAAATTCGGTAACACCCTTTTTAAAAACCACTTCGAATTCGGGATTCTCAACATCTAACATAGAGGATAAATACCTTTCGGAAATGTAAGCTCTGGCTTCTGCATTTTTGTCAAAATCTTTACGAATACTATTTAGAAATTAAAGATATGTTAAGCTAATGTTCTCAAGACTGTATTATAAAATAAAGAAGTATAAGATATTATTTACCTTTCGTAAATGGTATCTTGAGTTATTTGTGTATCAGAGAATCCATAACAAATATCAACAAATTGTTGACGAAATGCCAAATTGTCCGGGATAGCTTTTACAAATTTGTTTATTTGATTAATTAATTAACATATCCAACATGTTCTTTTTTTCTTAAAAAAATGTATATATATATAATCATGAAAACGTAATTTTACCATTGATGGCATTCAAATATATAGCTCTGACAATTTCTCCTGATAACATTTTATTATCCTCTTTTAAATTATCAGTTTTTCCTTCATCTAATTTACCCTCGTCTGCAAACTCTGTAATTAATATCACATCTTCAGAATTTGACTTCTCTGAAATTGATGCACTTGAGGATATTCCTAAAATCTTTCGTCGAGTTTTAATTTTTTCAATATATAAAAGTTCAAGTTTGAAATATTCATGCCACAGTTGAATGGAACTAGGATTTAAACGCAGACTTCTTTGTAGTAAGGCTAGTGGAAATATCAAGGATAAGCACATATAATATTGGGATAAACAAATTATCAACATAGTAATACCTCTGGAAGCAGTTATATTAGCATTAGTCTCGAACTCCCATTTTGCAGCAAGTATCCAGAATAAAGGCTTCGTTGGATGCAATTGCAAAGCACTATTTTTATAATTTAAAATTAGCAACGATTAAAAATTTTTTTATTTTATTTTAATGTAAGTAAAAAAAATTTACCTCCCAAAGATCTTACCGAGCAACTTTCCAGCTTCTGCTGATTTGGCAAATTCTATATACTGCAACCACAAAGAAATATCACCTTTAAACTTTATAATTGCGCGGTCATAAATATGATATAGTCTTCTGATAATCGCGTAATCTGATATTGATGTTTTCCCTTTTATCGCTAGATAATTGTTTTAAGTAAAATAATTTGGATATTAACAATATACTCTTAATTAATTAATCAGTATATATTCTTAATTAATTCATCATTATAATATCTTTGATAGGTTACCCAAACGTTCTTTACGTTTTTTCCTCAATTGTTCTAAATTCATTTCGTACTCTATATACTTTAAAAAATCATTTTTTTGACAGGGCCGTTTCTTTAATGCATATTCGAAATTTGTTCTCCGCCTAATTATGGATTTTATTTCTTGCTTTTTTTTTTTTTTTAAAAAAAAAAAAAAAAATTATTATTAAATCGCACAATTTTTTGGTTCAACGGAAAATCACTAATTCTGTAGAAGTTTCGTTGCTTTAATGCAATGGCTCAAGTAAATAATTAAAAACCTTTGAAAATAATTCTTTACGTTCATAATCCTCAAGTTCAGGTACCATTTTTTCAAGATAATATTGCACTGTTTCCGCCATTGTTAGAATTCGACTGACTAACTGGCAGATAATCTTATTTTTTAAGTGCTATCGCTATATACTACAATTGATAAAAATTGACCAATCAAAATTTTATATTACCGAATACCCAGATTCGAATTAATTGTTAAAGGCACATATGAGTCATGGTCTAGGAAAATGGGTCTTTGACGATTTTTTAAAAATTTTGAGTTGTTTGATTCAGATTAATTTTTACCCAACGTTAATATAATCATTTATCGAGATATTTTAACTTGAAGGTGATCCAATTTTTAAACGTTCGTGTTCTTTTTTTTTTTTTTTTTTTTTTTTTTAAAGTGTGAGACCTGGTCTCGGTTTTATTAATAGATTATTTGTAATTACAAATGTCTAGCATATCTCATTTTTACATGATGTGTACTAGTCTATCCTATACTAAACCTATGACTAGGGCTACTTTACCCACGGCCTTAACTCTACTGGAGAAGGCCAAGGCCCCACCTAGATTACGATTGTAGCTATTTGTATAGTTGGAGTATTAAACCTCCAATACGTATTTTGCCACGTATCTATCTTTTTTGTTACTTTATTAATTATATTTTCAGTTTCAATTTCATTATATTGTTTGTTTGCTTCTTTTTTTTGTACCTTTGTTTCTGGTATAGGTGTTTTCTTTAAGTTTGTCAGAATATGATTAGTGTCTGTATTTCTTTCTTTTCATATCTTTTTATATATGTTTTTAATGATTTTATATGTTAATATACATATTATTGGTATTTTGTCTTTTTTAGTAATTGTTTTGAGTTCTTGATACATGTCATTATTAATTAACCTAGTGATAGTTGTGACTGTATTTTGTAATTGATTAGTTGATGCTATATATAGATATTTTTGGATAAAGTTCTGTATCTATATTTCTGTAGTATTGTTTTTTGTATGTTTTTCTATTATTTTAGTTGTATTTTGCTCTATTAATTTTTGCAGGTTTGTACTATTTTTTCTGCATATTAGCCAGTGTATATTATCTTTTTGTTTGATTTTACATCTTAGACATATTGGTTCTATATATTTGTTTGGATTATGTTTATATATATTATATATTACTGGTAGTTCCCTCAGTAGCATTTTTATTTTGAATGCTTTTAGCTTAGATGCTTTATAATCAGTATATCTTATTTTGGAATTATAGTTGAAGTTTATACAACTATAAAGTAATTCTCATTTTATATTAATTATGCTCTGCTACTTGTTAGTTCTGTTTTGTGAGTACTATATTGCTATCTGCATTTTGTAGATTTCATAGAAATCTTCTTGTTTTATATTCTATTAGTGTATTATTTCATTTTAGTAGATACATTGTATATCCTAACTCATGGTAATTTAGTTCAATTGCTAGTTCTATATCATTTGTTAATATTGCTGAGTTTGTTCCCTCTTTATATTCAATTTCAACATTTAGTCTTTTCATTGCAATTATTATTTTTATACTGTTCTATATAGGCCAGTTTATTTCTTTGTCTGAAATATTTATCATTGTATATGATTATATTAGTTTTTTGTATTGTTTTACTATTGATCTATTGTTTGTATATATTGTTATCTGACTATCTACTTTAGCTAAGCATAATATCATAATTATTAAGATAGCATCTACTTTTGTTTTAGAGGACTAGCTTGCTAGTTATACTTTAAAGCTTTTGTTTTTATTATATAGTACTTATACTGCATATATATATTTTTTGTTGCTTTCAGTTTTTACTTCTGGTATTATAGTAAAGATAAGATTTTTTATATTAGCAACTGCTTCTGCTATATTGATTAGCATTTCTATATGTTTTATATTCTGGTATAGGCTCATGCAAATTTGTTTTGTTATTTGAAAATTTTTATTACTTCTGCTAGCTTGTTTTATTATCTTTTTTTGTATTGTTTTATATAATTCTTTGTCTTCTAAAATATCATGAACTTGTTTTATATCACTTCTTATTTTCTTTTATCTGTTAAGGTATATTTTACTATATTTTGTTAACTTTAATGTTATTGTATATTTGTTGTAATAAGAGTTGGTTAACATCTTATAGCTAGCATATTGCACTACTATTATATAGTCTTTTGTTGTCCAATACGTTATTATTATGTTATCTTTATCTAGAACTTTAATTATTCTTCTAATTGTATATTAGTTTTTAACTTTAGTATAAATCTAATTTCTTTTAATATTTATTGTATTCTGTATGATAAAAGGATTAGGTGTATGCAATCTTGTAGTGCTAGCTTGTATATATTCAAGATTTGTATTTTTAATCAATAAAGTATACCATTTCAGCATCTTTTCTTTATATAATTTACTAGTACTATAAGTAATTTTTGACCAGTCTGTTGTAGATTTGTTGTTGTAATTAGTTAGCTATTCAATAAAGTATATATAGTGTTTGTTGAGTTCGCTCTTTATATTAGCTGCTATTTCTCTTTTTTTCTTTTTTTTTGAGTTTGTATATCATCTTATTTATACTTGTACCATTTTGTTGTAATAGTATTAGCCAAATATTGTTAATATTTTTTGTTATACTACATTTCATCTTATATATTAGTTCTAGCTATGTTGCTGTAACTGTACTTCTCTTATTGTTTAATAACTAGTAATTATTATGCTCTAGTATTAATTTGTTAGTTGTAGTTGTATTTTGGATTTGTTGTAGTTTTATGACAAAAGTAGATTTACTAAACTCAGAGCTATTAATTTGTTTTATAATTGATGATATATGATGTTAAGTTTGTATATTTTGTATACTTCTCATCAAATATATATTATAATATAGGATAGTTGAGTTGGGTACAGATCTAGCTAATCTAGCTTTTTGTTTTATAATACTTATATATTTTCTTGTATATTTATCTTCTATTAACTCACTAAGTATTGTACTCTATATTCTATATTCAACTTTAGTGAGTATTACATTGTTAATTATATATATCACTTGTTTGTCTATGATTTTTGCTTTTCAAAGAAAGTTAATTACTTCTGATATTTTATCTATTATTATCTTATATATAGCAGTTTTTTTTGAATTAATTGTGAACTAACAGTCTAGATATCAGAATACTTGTTTTTGTGTAATTAATGTTATTGTAGCATTATTGAAAGTAATTGCTTTTTTTTTTGTATTTGTCCTTGCAACTAGTACTGATTTATTTGAATTAACTGTAATCTTAGCTATTCTGTAAAATAATGTTATATTTTCAATAATTTTTTCTATTTATTTTTGCTATTTGTGATCTACAAAGTATCATCTATATAGGCTAGTATTGAGTAGGTTTGTTGTAGTAAGATTGTGGTTTTAATATTGTTATTTGGTATATTTACCTCTATTCTATAGCCTTTTATTTTACTAGTGATTTCTGCAAGAAGAGGGTTATAATATATCTTCCACAGTATTAGTGCTATCATCTCTTCTTGATCAATACTGTCATATACTTAGTAACTTTCTGTATTTCTAAAGTTAGTTATGACTTAGTTTGTTTTATTTGTAAAGATATTACTTATTAAGTTGATAATTGATTCAGGTATTTTGATCTTATGCATTGCTTTGACTAGTAATAGTAGATATACTTGCTAGCAAAATGACAAAACCTGAACAAATTCAAAAAAACAATTGCTATTTATAAAAAATTGAATCAAAAAAATAGTCTTGAAATTTTGCCAATATATTATATATAACTATAAGAATTTATAATATTTGTTTGAATAAGAATTATTAATAAAATTTTTGAGATATGAATTTAGCCAGAGTTTGGGATTTGGGTATAGACAAACTAATTTTATCCTTTAGACTATATTCCAGGCAAATTTGTCTGGAAAATTAAAAAAAAATACTATTTTTTAAATAATTTAATAAAATATTAATAAAATAGAGTCTATATTATATATAGAATATATTATTGAAA